TCTTAAAAATGTAAAGTTGCATGACATATGCATACACATTTCATCTATTTCATAAATATCCTGTGACAAAGTGAGGGCTTGCAAAATAATGAAAGGAGACAATAGCAGATGGTTTTTCACTGATATGAAAACAGTGGGGGTTTTTTTCCATCAGAGAATTATGAGTTGGTCAGAGGAAAGAATGGTGAAGACTTCAGTAAGGAGTAACCCAAATGTCTGAATAAAATTTGCAGAAACAATTGATTTTCTTCCCGAGGACTGGAAGTGGCATGGACAGTTGGGCAATAAAAGAACAACAGCAATTTTCTGCTCCATTTCTACAACAACAACAAAAACACGATGGCAGAAAACAACGCCAAGTGGAAATCTTCCTTCCTTGGGGATAGAAAAACACATCCCTCTTCTTTAAGAACCATAACCACAGATTGCAGCAACAAGACGCTACAGAGAAAAGCCTGGTTGGGTTGAGCCAACCGTATATGGCAAATGGTTAGAAAGACGGTTTCCCTCTGGGAGAGCAGAGGGCCAGTCACCAGGAGGAGCAAGAGCAACAAAGAGCTCTTATTCACATCCACAATGCTGACAGGACGTGCGTTTTCCTCGGCGGACTGGCAAGCTCCCTGGAAAGGGAAGATTAATACGAGCAGGGAATACGAACTCTCTCTGGCAAACCGTGCCCACTGTCAGCCTGGGGAGAGTGCTGAGAAACGAGTGGATGGTCATTGATCCTGGACTAGGAGGACTTGAATGAATTCCTTCCCCTGCTTCCCAACTCCTCCCACCTCTCACACGCAGCAGTTCTCATTTATCCAAAGTCCCTGGGCAAGAGCTAGTCCACGTGAATTCATTTTACCAAAAACTGAGCTGATCTGTTGGAATTTCAGATGCACGAATCTTTTAAAAATTAACGTCAGAGCTCTTCGCCCTCTGGACGTACAGGGAACTTTACTGAGATGGCCTGGGAGGGAGCCCCGAGCGTGGAGTGCACACCTGGGTGCTCAGCTGCACCCTGCGCTGTTGCTTTGCTCATCTATTTCTATTTATGAATCAAGGTTGTTAATGTGACTGTCATTAATGCAATGATACCACTGTAGAGGCAGACAGGGTGGGAGACAAGGCTAAGGAAGGACAGAGGGCGGTGTTTCTCCAGTATTCTCGTCTGTGATGTCCATCCCTCCCGCCCTGAACCGGAAGGCTGGTATTGGTCATTTCTGGGTCCTCTCGTCCCGTCTACTCCTGCTCATCCAGACTCATGGCTTTCAATGCCATCTATATGTCCATGCCTTCCCTCAACAACAGACTTGTTTATACATCTGCCTACTAGGAAGCTCTCCGTGAGGATGCTGAATTCGTAACTCAAGTGAAACAGCCCCAGACTCAGCCTTGCTCCAATTCCCCAGAGCTCTTCCTCCCACTCTGCCGCATCTCAGCAAGGACAACTCCATCCTTCCAGTTGCTCAAGCCCAACAACTTGAAGTCATCCTTGGCAGCTTTCTTTCCTCATTCCCTACCTCCAGGCCCTCAGTAAATCCTATAAGCTTCACCTGCAAAACACAGTCTACAGAGGCTGACTGCTTGTCACCTCTGCTGCTGCTCCCACTTCCGGCCACACTGCTACCGCTCTTTCCTGGATTACTGCAAAGCTTCCTGCCTGGCCTTTCAGCTTCTGGCCTTGTCTCCTTGTTCTCAACACAAAAATCAGTCATCCTTCTAATCACGTCACTCTGCAAAGTCAAACTCCTGTCAGTGGCCTGCCAGGCCTGATGGATCTGGGTCCTCATTCCTTCTCTATCCTCATCTCCTCAGACTCTTCCCCTGCGCTCAGTCAGCTTCATTCACCACCCGAGCCGCTTGCTGTTCCCACTCAGGCTCTTTGCACTTGCTGCTTCCTCTGCCAGCAATGCTGTTCACCTGAATATACATGTGACTCCTCCCCCGACTTCAGCTCCTTACTCCAACATTGCTCTCAAGTGAGGCCTTACCTGGCTACTTTATTTAAATATTGACACGGTTTGTCTGTGTCCCCACCCAAATCTCATCTTGAATTCCCACGTGTTGTGGGAAGGACCCGGTGGGAGGTAATTGAATCATGGGGTAATTGAATCAGGTCTTTCTTGTGCTGTTCTCATGACAGTGAATACGCCTCATGAGACCTGATGGTTTTATAAGAAGGAGTTACCCTGCACAAGCTCTCTCTTTGCCTGCCACCGTCCACATAAGATGTGACTTGCTCCTCACTGCCTTCCATCATGATTGTGAGGCCTCCCCAGCCATGTGAAACTGTAAGTCTGTTAAACCTCTTTCTTTTGTAAATTGCCTAGTCTCAGTTATGTCTTAATCGGCAGTGTGAAAACGGACTAATACAAACATCCTCCCACACCCACCCAATACCCTCTTGCCTTATTGTATTTTAACATGTTTCACTACCCTATGTAAGATATCACATGCATATATATCTTTTTTATTGTCTGCCTTTGCCAATGAGAATGCAAACACCATGAGAACATGGAGTTTTCTTCTTCTTTTCTTTCTTTTTTTATTTTGAAATGGAGTCCCACTCTATTGCCCAGGCTGGAGTGTAGTGGCACTATCTCAGCTCTCTGCAACCTCTGTCTCCTGGGTTCAAGTGATTCTCCTGCCTCAGCCTCCCTAGTAGCTGGGATTACAGGCGCGCACCACCAGCCTAGCTAATTTTTGCATTTTTAGTAGAGATGGGGTTTCACCATGTTGGTCAGGCTGGTCTCAAACTCCTGACCTCAAATGATCCACCTGCCTCGGCCTCCCAAAGTGCTGGAATTATAGGAGTGAGCTAACACAACTGGCCAGTTTTTTCTATATTGTTCACTGTTCTATCCCCAGCCCCCAGAATAGTACCTGCAAGGTCATCAATGTTTGTCAAATGAATAATGTTTTTTACTATAGTCATTAAGCCTGCATCTAGAAATACAGGGTAGTGATTATAAACATGGATTTTAAAGTCACACAAATAGATTACAAAACCTGCTCTAACCCCATTTTAGCTGTGTGACCTTGGGCAAGGTATTAATACTTTTATCATTGTTAAAATAGGTACAATGATGTACAAAAGAGGAAGCAAAGCACTGAACACAGAACCTGGCAAGCTGTAATCATCTGGCACATCTGAACTGTCTGGGTGGTGTCTCCGCTGCTACCGCCTCAGTGCATGTTTCCATCATCTGTTGCCTGTTGACCACAAAACTCCCAACTCATCCCTCTCACTCCAGCCTTCCTCAAACCCCGGTGTCTTCCACACACTAGGACCAGAGAGATCCTCTGAACATAAAACTGATTGATAACAGAGCATCCAGATGGACTAATAACTGACCAATTAATAATTGACAATCAAAAAATTCTCTCCTCCAAAAAAAAAAAAAAACAAGAAAACTGGCAAAAATTGTCAAAATCAACTTTTCTAGAACTCTGAAAGTTAACCACCAAAGGCTTGGAATAATCTGGGAAGCTTTTATTTAATTAAAATGGCTGAGTCTTGGTATGAACAGCAAACATTGTGATGTTTCAACGTGCCCTATTCCTATCTCCCTATCTCCCACGTGGTGGTTCCCTAGAAAACTAGCAATCACAATAAAAGACAGCAGCCTGATAGCCATCAAAGAGAGAAAAATGGAGTCAGGGGTCCTTTAAAGCCTTATTCCCATGGAATCGTCATTATTTAGCCTCTCTAGCAGTTCCCTGGAAGACCCCATTTATAAAGTCATCTTTATTTGGCCTGACTTAGAGCTCACCTAGTGCAAAAGGCTTTTCTCCAGGGGTGTTTGTAAAGAAATAAAATAAAAACATTAGAGACTGTTGTTTAACTTTCTGGCTGGGTGCTTCGTGGCTGGCTAAGGCTGTGGGTAATGGTTGGGCAGACAATAAGCTGATCACAAACCATAAAAGGAAAATCTGGGGAATGAGCTCCCCATGGGGTCTCAGACAAGCTTCACCCACTTTCTGGGCACCTAGAAGGTCACGGGCATGTGTCGGACTCTGCATGTGTCCAGGGCTGTGCACATGCTCAGAAAATACCTGCGAAGGCCCAAAGAGCTCACTTCTGGCCGATCTTGGGGCTCTGTAGAACCAGAAAGTGAAAGCTGAGGCACAGTTTCAGCTGCCTGGCTGAGTGTTGAAGGAGTGCCCAACATGCACACAGAGCAGCTTTCCAAGGACTGGGAGATTTGCTGGTCACTGGCGTTCAAGGAAACCTCTGTCCATTCATTAACTGACCTCTGAGCTCACTGAGCAGAGAGCTCAGTGACTAAACATGATCAAGAATATAGACTTTACAGAAGATATTTAGAAATATCACTAAGTAAAATAATAACAAACAGCAACAACAACAGGCTCAGGGGATGAAACAGAATCTGACTTCCAGAGAGCCTACCAGGGAACTTCTTGGCCTCTATCGTCGTGTGAGCCAATTCCCATAATAAATTTAAAAATACTTTGAGATTAACGAAAATGAAAACACAACATAGCAACAATGAAGGATGCACTAAAGCAGTGCTTATAGGGAATTTTGTAGCTGTAAACACGTATTTTTAAGAAAAAAAGAAAAGTCTCATATCAACAATCTAACATTCCATCCTCAGAAATTAGAAAAAGAAAAACAAACTAAACCCAAAAATACGCAGCAGGAAGAAAATAATAAAGATTAGAAAGAAAACAAATAAAATGGAGAATTTTTTAAATAGAGAAAAATCGATAAAACCAAAAGATCACCAAAATCACAAAACATTTAACTCAACTGACCAAGACAAAAAGAGAGAAGACTCAAGTTACTAAAATCTGGTATGGAGACAGGGCATTACTTGCAAAACTAGAGTTTGAAGGAAATACTACAAGCAGTTATATGCCAACAAATTAGATAACCTAGACGAAACAGACACATTTATAGAAACAAACTACTGAAACTCAGAAAGAGAAGAATCGGAATACACCTATAACAAGAAAGATGTTGAATTAGTCATCAAAAAATGTCCCACGAAATAAAAGCCCATGACCAGATGGCTTCACTGATGAATTCTACCAAACATTTAATGAAGAATTAACCTCAATCCTTCAGATTCTTCTGAAAAATAGAAGAGGAGGGAACACTTCCCAGAAGCTGCCTCAGAGGCTGCCTGTCAACACACTCTATTCTAAGTCTAAATCCTCAACACAGCACTGCCAGTTTTTTAGAATCTGGCCCCTGCACCACCTACCCCGTCCTCGTGCGTGTGGCGCTCTAAACTTCCTCTGTTGTTTGTAAGAGTGCACCGTGCTCTCTTCTCACCTCCTGGCCTTCACACCCGCTGGTCCTTCTGCCTGGTGTAGCCTCTCTGCCTCCCCGTCTCTTACTGATTCCCCTCCACCTTTTGAGACAGCCCCTCCGCAGGAAATTCCCCTGCACCCCTCCTGACTGTGTGAGGTGTCTCTCCTGAGGGCACCATACCATGCGCCTGTGCTCCTGCAGCACTTCTGACTCTGGAAAAAAAATATGCCCATGCATTTATCTGCCTCTCTTCCCAGTCCTGGCAGACAGGAATGGGGATTTCAATAGCTTGCAGGGTGCTTCTCACTAGCAAGGCACATCAACCTTTGCTGAATAAACGACCTCAGGATAAGGTAAGGCATTCCCAAATTACTGCTGTTTCTGGGGCTAATTTTGACAATTTTATCCTAGTCCCAACAAGGACTCTCCCTCTGTAGAGACAGCATTCACCACAAAATGAATCTTTCTCAAACTAAAATAAAGAAAAGAGCATTTCTAGGTTCAGACGGGCTCATAGAGTAAAATAGACACGGCCGGTCCGCGCCTGTCTCAGTACACGAGCTGCGTTCTCTGTGAGTGCCCTGGTCACCTCTTGGGACACAGCCCACCAGCAGCAGCCTTGCCTGAGGCCATGGTGCTGTGTGGTGCTGGAGATGCCAGGAGGCGAGGCTGGAGGGATGGGAGGCAGGAGGCACCGGCCTGGTCCCTAAGGAGCTCAGGCATCCAGTGAGGAGAAATGGGCTGGAAAGTAGAAAAAGGCAACGTCGCTTCCAGGAAAACTCAAATCAAAGTCAAGGAAGCGAGGCCAGCAGTCACTGCTCTAAGGTGCAGGGGCTGTGCTCAGAGTGGCCAAGGAGCTCCAGGAAGGCACGACTTTAGGGAGAGGAGAAACTGGGAGAGGCCTGGAGGTCAGAAAGAACACAGTGTGTTGGAGTGTAATGAGAAGGGGCAGGGAAGAGACAAAGGACATACGCATTTGGGAGGGTTTTAAATACTTTGCTAGTGAGTTTTATTTTTTGCCTGTTTAATTAATTGAAACCTGCTAATGAATTTAACTTTTCAATATGGGGGCCATTAAATACTTTTGGGCCAAGGAGAAAGTGATGTGCGTGCCAAGAGGTGTTTGACGAAGACGAAGCAGGCAGGAGTCCATAGGTGGTGGTTAGAGAGTAGGGGCAGGGGGCCCAACAGTACAGACTCCAGGCAGCTTGGCCCTAACAAGAAAGCAGCCAGTGGGAGGAATATAAGGGCAAATAACTTGCCCTGGTCCTGCAGTGGCAAGGCGGCAGCGAAGCTGGGACACGAACCCAGGGGTCTGACTCCAGCAAACTCACCCTTTGCTGCTAGGCACACCTGCACGGCAACCACCTGCACGGCAACCACCTGCACGGCAACCACCTGCACGGCAACCACCTGGCTGTGCCTTTAAAATAGCTGTGAGCTGCTTGAGGCTTCAATAGCTACATATATGCATTTCTAGCAAGTGACAAGAGTGATATTAATTATGCTAATGTAAGGGTCATTATGTATTTAAGTGCAACACGAGTCTCTTACAAACACTAAAGGAGTGGAATTGGTCTTCCCTTTCCACGTACCGACAGTCGCTTAAGACAGTCTTCCGCCACACTAGATACTTCGTAAATGTCCATTGAGGGGAAAAGTCCAGTGGCCAGTGGAAGTCACTAGAGTGAAGCTGTCTGAGTCAAGACACTTTCATGTGTCATATCTATAGGTTTCCATTTGGAGGCTGAATGACAGTCGCGATGCCCTCTGTCCTCTTTCACCCACAGGCTACAGGTGGTTTCTTCACAGGCCTGTTTCCTGACGGACGTTCATAGATGGGGCCCAAGTGACAATTTTTAAAAAAATGGTTCAACTGGGAATTGGCACATTTTTGCTTGTGTCTAGTAACTGTTTAAAAGTTGAAATATTGTCTAAACCTGGCCCTGTAGTCTTACAGCGCTAAAAGACTCTCAGGGCTCCTGCCTGACAACTGAGAAGGCGTGTAGTGTTAGCATCCTCTGCATTGCATCACTGTAAGGTGGCATGCTGAATAAAGGGACTTAAAACAGTATTTCACAAGAAAAAACAATTCTATTATATCCTCAATTTAAAAAACTTTTAACTTTGTCTTTCTTTCCCTTTCGTAACTAATAGCTTAGTTTGAGCATGAAAATAAACTGGGGGGTGGGGAAGAATGGCCTCCTTTGTTTGCTAATGTTTTTTCCTTTTACTCACTATTGTGAAATGTGATTCTTTAATAGATGGTGTTGAATGTTCTGTGTTAACTTCCCTTAAGGCTCTGTTGAGCATGACAAATGTGTGGATCGTTACTACTCAGTTCTCCTTGAGAAGATAAAACAATAATACATTGAAGTTTGTATTTTAACCCAGTTTTTCTGTGTGAGGCCTTTAATTTTTAGTGTTGTTGACAAACATACGTGTTCCATTTTCCAAGCGGATGCTACCCTTCCCTTTAGGACGTCACCGCGGCTAGGCATAGTCTGGCTTCTCAGTGCCTTCTCCACCGAATCTGCGGAGCGGGGGTGTTGGTGTCAGTGCAGCGCCATTGCACGCTCACTTCTGACTCTGGGGACTACGGAGCAGTTGGGTGTCCTTCACAGTTTACGAAGCAAGGGTCACTGCTTTTGAATCAGATACCCTCTCTCTAGAATGAACCTCTTAGAATGCGCCCGGGATTGCAAATTCGCTTCCTGTCTCAGCAACATGTCATGGAAAGTTTTGAGCTGTGAAACAGCCTGTCCTTTTATCTTCAAAGCTTGAAAGCTCTTGGATCTAAGAAGGAAATCATTTATTTGGGTTGAAAAAGACAATTTGGTTTTAGGATGATTAAACACAGAGTTAACAAAAAATGAAAACCAAATGACTTTTAGCCTAATAAGAAACTCACATGTTTATAAATCTGCTGTTCTTAACTCATTAATGTCATCCAAAACCCAGGCATCCTACTGTTGGAAACTGCAGTATTGAAGTACAGAATGGGTGGGGTGAGAGGAAACGAGAATCTGCCAAGCAGAAGAGTCTGTGCTCCCATCACCTTATTAGGAACTCCAAGAGAGCAGGCAGAAAAGCAGGGTTTGAAATAGAACTATCGACCATGGGCCAGTAACAAGATGGTCCAAAGTTATCCCCCACACACACGTGCACACAGACCCCACAAACCTATAAATGCTTGCAAAGGTTACTTGCTTACTAGGTCAACAGGCATTCTGCTAATCACCATGTCACTGAATTGCAGGTTCTTCTAAGCCCAATTAAGAAGAGCACTTTCTTTCTGGTAGAAAGCAAGTGACTTCTTATTCCAAAGCTAGCTTAGGGGAAGAAGTACAGGCTTCCTGCCTTATGGGTACCACTTCACTTTTGGAGCAGAAAGTGGGCAATTTTGGCTGGGCGCAGTGGCTCACACCTGTAATCCCAGCACTCTGGGAGGCTGAGGTGGTTGGATCACCTGGGTCAGGAGTTCTAGACCAGCCTGGCCAACATGGGGAAACCCCGACCCTTCTAAAAACACAAAAAATAGCCAAGCATGGTGGCAGGCACCTCTAATCCCAGTTACTCTGGAGGCTGAGGCATGAGAATCACTTGAACCTGGGAGGCGGAGGTTGCAGTGAGCCGCGATCGTGCCATTGCACTCCACCCTGGACAACAGAGTGAGAACAAAAAAGAAAATGGGCAATTTTAAAGTGGGGTACTACACAATGGTGGAAGTGAGCAGGTGAGTGGGATGTGGGGGGTGTCTGTGTACTCCCTTCAGTGCCTTATCTACTGGCCAGTTGAGCTGGCGTCTTCCTGGGAAAAAATGGGTTGTAAAAGTGGTCAAAGACTCTAGTGTGTAACTTTGGGTTGAAAATGGGCTGTTATCTCTTCAGGCAACCTCCTGGTGGGTAGAGTTCTGCTCTGGAGCTCATGAGAACAGTTAGATGAACCTGCCCTGTAGAGAGCGTCTGGTGAAGAGGAGGTAAAAGGCTATGATTACATTTGTAAAGGGCTAAGTAGGAAGTGTGGAAAAGCAGGAAAAAGAAAAGAAGAGAGGAAAAAATTAAAGTATCTCTTAGAAAAATGGGGGTACTAGCCGGAAGAAGTGGCTCACGCCTGTAATCCCAGCACTTGGAGAGGCCGAGGCGGGCGGATCACCTGAGGTGGGGAGTTTCAGACCAGCCTGACCAACATGGAGAAACCCCATCTCTACTAAAAAATATAAAATCATCCAGGTGTGGTGGCGCATGCCTCTAATCCCAGCTACTCGGGAGGCTGAGGCAGAAGAATCACTTGAATTTGGGAGGAGGAGGTTGCGGTCAGCTGAGATCGTGCCATTGCACTCCAGCCTGGGCAACAAGAGTGAAACTCTGTCTCAAAAAAAAAAAAGAAAAGAAAAGAAAAATGGGGTACTAGGTGGTTACAACCACGGCCTCAAAGGACTCTGATAGATTAGGTCTGATATAGTTATTTAAAACATTATTATTAGGTTATTGGACTAATTGTGTGAGCTTAGTCACGGTGTCCAGGCTTTGTGAGCCTCAGTTTTTTAATCTATGAAATAAGTTAAATAATTCCTTTTACACAAGGTTGTGAGTGGGGATTAACAATAACATGGGTGAGCATGAGCACAGTACCTGGAGCAGAGCAGATGCCCACTACACAGTGCTGATTGCTGTGAATTTGTTCTTGTTTACAATTAAGGTACAAAGATAAGGAACTGAACAATATGAATTTCAATGGTCTTTTTAAAAGGAATATCCAAGTGCTAAGGTAGCTTTTCTTTAAGATATTGCTTATAGCATCCTATCTTTGTAGATTTTTAAGACTGTGGCTACGTGTGTGTGTGTGTGTGTGTGTGTGTGTAATAAAACCTGCATATAGAGCTATTTTTAAATCTTCTTAAATGTGTGGAAATCTCACATTTAAAGAAAAGGATACCTTTAGATAAGACAGTTTGTAATAGAAACCACTGTGTGAAATTATTTCTAGAGAACTGTTTATATGGTATGCCACCTATATCCAAAAAAGGACACAGGCAAAGAAAATGAAAAGTTATAAAAAATAAAAATCGATTTTTAAAGTTTTTTTTTTAAGACCAACTACAAAGCAATAAAAATTGGCAGAGAGTTGTATCTAAAAACCTAAGCCAATATACCTTTTATGACTGAGCGCAAAAAATCTAACTAAGAGCTAAGGCAAAACAAGAAACACACAAGTTGTACAGCTTTCAATATGTAATAAAAGGAAGTTCATCAATTTATAAGGCCTCCATTTTGAAAGGAACCAGTCATATATAGGTCTTTATATAATAGTGATTTTATATGATGTTTCTTACATGGATCCTCTTTCAAAG